AATGAGAGGAAAAGGGAACACTTCTGTACGGTTGGTAGAAGTATAAACTAGTACAATCTCTGTGAAAAACAGTGTGGTGATTCCTAAAAGATATAAAAATCGACCTTCCATAGGATTCAGCAATTTCCCTTCTGGAAATATACCCAGAGGAACACAAATCATTTTGTGAAAAAGATACCTGCACATGCATGTTTACTGCAGCATTATTCACAATAGCAAAAACATGAAACCAACCCTGCTACCCATTGAAAGTGGACCTGGATAAAACAAATGTGGTACACATACATGGTGGAATATTATGCAGCCATAAAGGACAAAATTATGGAATTCACAGCAACTCGGGTGGATTTGGAGTCTATCATACTCAGTGATCTATCACACAAAGAACTGAGTACCACATGCTCTCACTCACAAGCAAACCCTGAACATTTATCACATACTATAAGGGACTGGCAGTAGCAGGAAACTATCAGGGGAGAGGGGAACACATAACATCAATATGGGTACCTGATCTCAAACCAGGCAAAGTGGGGAACAAAGGGAGGCCCAAACTTACCAGTACAATGACTACTTATGTACCTAACCCTGAATTGTACCCCATATCTTTAAAACAAATTTTTAAAAAAGAAAACTACAGACCAACATCCCTGATGAACATAGACACTGAAGTCCTAAACAAAATATTAGCAAACCAAATTTAATAACACAGACCAAAAAAATCCACCATATTCAAGTGGGTTTTATCCCAGGGATGCAAGGATGGTTCGATATACACAAGTCAATAAATGTGATCGACCACATTAATGGAATGAAATAATGGTATGATCATTTCAATATATGCAGAAAAAGCTTCTGATAAAAATGCAGCATACTTTTATGATAAAAACCCTCAGTGAAATAGGTATCAAGGGAACATTCTCCAAAGCGATAAAAGCCATATACAACAAACCCCCCTTCCCCAAAAACTGAACAAGGCAAGGATGCCTATTTTCCCCAATCCTATTCAACATAGTACTGGAAGTCCTAGCCAGGGCAATAAGTCATGAGAAAGAAATAAAGGGTATTCAAATTGGAAAAGAAGAATTCAAACTATCTCTGTATGCAGATAGGGATATGATCTTACATATATACCTAGAGAATTCAAAAGGTTCCTCCAAGAGACTTCTGGACTTGACAAATGAATTCATTGAAGTATCAGGATACAAATTCAATACACAAAAATTAGTGGCATTGCTATATAGCAACCAAGCCGAGAATCAAATCAAGAACTCAATTCCATTTAAAATAGCAGCCAAAAAATTAAATTGTCTAAGCATACGAAAAATCTCTACAAGGAGAACTTCCCAACTCCGATGAAAGAAATTGTAGAGGAAAGAAACAAATGAAGGAGCATCCCATGCTCATAGACTGAAAGAATGAACATTATTAAAATGACCATATTACCCAAGGTAATCCACAGACTCAGTGTAATCCTTATCAAAGTACCATTGTCATTCTTCACAGAATTAGAAAAACAATCCTAAAACTCATATGGAAACAAAAAAGGGCCACAGCCAAACTAATCTCAAGCAAAAAGAACAAATCTGGAGTCATCACATTACCTCACTTCAAGTTATACTACAAGGCTGTAGTAATCAAAACAGCATGGTATTGGTACAAGAGTAGACACATGGACCAAGGGAACAGAACAGAGTATCCAGAAATAAACCAAAATATATGCAACAACTGATTTTTGACAAAGCGGATAAAAACATATACTGGGGAAAGGTGATGGAAAATCTGGATAGCTGCATGCAGAAAAATAAAACTTTATCCTCTCTCTCACCATATACAAAAGTTAACTCGAGATGAATTAAAGACTTAAGTGTCAGACCTAAAACCATAAAAATCCTAGGAAAAATCTATTTTGAAAAATCTAGGAAAAACTCTTCTGGACTTTGGTCTAGGCAAAGAATTTACGGCTAAATACCAAAGGCAAATGCAACAAAAACAAAAATAAGTGGGATTTAATTAAACTAAACAGCTTCTACATAGCAAAAGTAATAGCCAACAGAGCAAATAGGCAACCTACAGAATGGGAAAAGATATTCACAAACTACACATCTTACAAAGGACGAATATCCAGAATCTACAAAGAATTCAAACAAATTAGCAAGAAAAAAGCAAATGACCCCATTAAAACGTGGGCAAATGATATGAAGAGACATATCTCAAAAGAAGATATACAAATGGCGAACAAACATATGAAAAAATGCTCAATATCACTAATTATCAGGGAAATGCAAATTAAAACCACAATGAAATACCACCTTACACCAGTCAGAATGGCCATTTTAAAAATCAAAAAGCAATAGATGCTGGCATGGATACAGTACAAAGGAAATGCTTATACACTGCTGGCACGAGTGTAAAGTAGTACAACCTCTGTGGAAGTTGGTATGGAGATTTCTCAAAGAACTAAAAGTAGATCTACCATTTGATCCATCTATTCTATTACTGTGTATCTACCCGAAGGAACAGAGGTTGTCATATAAAAAAAGACACATGAACTTGCATGTTCATCACAGCACAATTCACAATTACAAAGGTGTACAATCAACCTAAATGCCCATCAACTGACCATGAAAATGTGGTGTAGGCCGGGTGCAGTGTAGGCCAGGTGCGGTGGCTCAAGCCTGTAAACCCAGCACTTTGGGAGGCTAAGGTGAGTGGATTGCCTGAGCCCATGGGTTCAAGACCAGCCAGGCAACTTAGCAAGACCTCATCTCTACAAAAAAAAAAAAAAAATTAGCTGGGTATGGTAGCATGCACCTGTAGTTCTGGCTACTTGGAAGACTGAGGAGTAAGGATCGCCAGAGCCCAGCTCGACGCTGGGGTCTGTGAGTGTGTCACTGCACTCCAGACTGGGCGACAGAGTGAGACTCCAACTCAAAAAAAAAAAGTAGCATATATACACTATTCAGTCATCAAAAAGAATGAAATATTGTCTTTTGTAGCAACTTGGATAGAACTGGAGCACATCATCCTAAGTGAACCAACACAGGAACAGAAAACCAAACACTGTATGTTCTTCTCACTTATAAGCAGGAGCTAAACTAAGGATCTGCAAAGGCATGAAGAATTATATAATGGACACTGGAGACGTAGAAGGGGAAGGGAGGAAGGGGTGGAGAGATGAAAAATCACCTATTAGGTAGAATATGCATGGGTGGGAGTGGTGTGTACACTTAAAGCCTAGAGTTCTTTGCCACTATACAATGCAATCATGTAACCAAAACCTATTTGTACCCCCTAAAGCTATTGAAATAAATAAAATTTAAAAATTCAGTAGATGGGTTTAAAGAAAATTAGAGGTACATTAAATAACATCAATAAAAAAAAATCCAAAGTGAAACAAACGGGAAAAAAAATTGCGGCTATCTACATATGGAAAACAATGAAAAGTAACTTAAATGAATACATTTCAGTGGTTATGAGTCTACAGCAATCACACAGAATTATAGTTACTTATTGCCATAGTTTCCAGTTTATATTCCAAGATTAAATATTCATCCAACTGCTGAACTCTCATGTGCAAAGCAATATACTGAGTACTAGAATTACAAAGATATTTAAGACCCAACTCCTGTACTCAAGACAGTCACAGGAGACAGAAGGGTGATGCTTAAGCCAGTACCAAAACTGAAGAAGTGTTCACCAGAATTTAGCTGGCAGATTTGGAGTAAAGGTAGGAGGATCATTTTGTGTAGAGAAAATATCCAAAAAACAGAGTAAAATAAGAACAAAAAATCTAGGGGAAGTTTAAAAATTTCAATATATCTGAGTATAGCATATATTAATGACAACAAGATATAATCAGCAGGCACAGGTTAGTAGGAACCAGATCATTATTTCCTGTGAAGAGAGAATGTTTAAAAGAATAGAAAAATAACAAATGCCATAAGATCCCTATAATGTTCTGGAAGGTACATGGTGTTTCACAAAGTATACTATGCCTTTTAAGTGTTCTACCACATGAACAAATGTGAAAAATATTTAATAACATAGTCTAAAGATGACAAGACATTCAAGGTCCTTCAGGAAGGAATCGGTGGCTCAGCCTGTAATCCCGCGCCTTGGGAGGCTGAGGTGAGTGGATTGCCTGAGCCCACAGGTTCGAGATCCGCCTGGGCAATTTGGCGAGACCTCATCTCTACAAAAAATCAAAAAATGAGCCAGGCGTGGAAGCGCGTGCCTGTATTTCCAGTGCCTTGGAAGGCCGAGGCGGAAGGATCCCCGGAGCCCAGCTGGTCGAGGCTGCGGTGGCCGGCAGCGGCCACTGCACTCCAGTCTGGGCGACAGAGGGAGACTCCACCTCAAAAAAAAAAAAAGGAATCCAAGTCTTTGATGAGCTCACCTGTCTGAGTTTACTGAGATACTGCCAACCAGGCAGCTTTCCAAAAATCCCTACCGTTCACACGTCCATGACTTGCACAAGCCGTTTCACTGCCTATACTGCCTCCCTCAATCGTCTTATGAACGTGTCATCAATCGTTTTTGCCTAACGCCCTTCTAAATGTCTTGCTTTGGGAAAAATTAGTAACTCCCTCCATTGTGTTACCATAGGATTCATTCATAAAATATTTACTGAGTGCCTTACATGCACCAGGCACTGTTGGAGGCAGCTGAAATGCATCAGTGAACAAAAAAGACAAAGATTGTTGTCACTGTGGAGCACACTGTTGAAATGTTTGAAGAAGATAAGAGTATGGAAGAGTGTGCGTGTGTGTGTGTGTGTGTGTGTGTGTGTATGCGTGTGTGTATGCGTGTGTGTGTGTGTATATATATATTTTACAAAAGCTTCCCCGATTCAATTATGCCCTTCTCCAACTGATCCAACCCAGGTTGAGAATTAAAGCACTGGAAAGCATTCAACAAACTTGTGATGAAAGCCATGATTCAAAGCATAACAAGAGGAATACACAAGACACATTGCTATATTTTCTTATACAGATTCTTACTTATCTTTTCCTCTAATTGATTAGCTTTATCTCTGGATTCCTCTAGCAGACATGTTAAATCTTGTATTTTTTGTTCTTTTTCGGTGCTTTGGATCAATAGCAGTGATACCTAAAATGAAATATTTAAATAATATGTTATATATACATCTAAAGTTAAATATGACACCTTAGCATTTATCATCACCTACAATTATTTTAGGTACTTATCTATGTGCTTTTCAGCTGGTCCACTCAATCTTCCTACACTAGATTCTACTACCTGACAACCAATGTGGTCAGAGAACTAATCCTATTCCATCTTTGCATGAGATAATGACATATCAAACTGAAAAGAGTAATCTCTAAACATGGATATTCCAAGCACAAGAAGGGACGGGGGTAAAGGATATAATAGAAAAATCAGCATATATAGTGGTGAAGTAGCCTATCCAAGCCAGCTCCATAATGCCATTAGTCAAGTTTATATTCCAAGCAGGGATTTGGAGAGACCTAGCAAACAAGTGTTATAAATAATGACATTTGGGGGTCTCTAGCAAAAATACCAGCTGGCTGCAGCATCATTTTGTAAGGAAGTTTAACAATCTATAAGCTCTACCCATGCACCCAGAACTCCAACAAGCTTTTTTAGCACTTCATTCCAGTTTTGTGTTTTTTTATAATAAGCACAATTTCAAATTTTAAAAAAGACTTCCTTCTTTCAAATATTTGGCTTAAAAATAAAGTAAAAATAAAAAAAATTGTCAATTATTTCAAAAGTTCTAAGCACGGCTGGACTCAGTGGCTCAGCCTGTAATCCCAGCACTCTGGGAGGCCAACGCGAGTGGATTGCCTGAGCCTGTGGGTCCAAGAACAGCCTGAGCAACTTGGCAAGACCTCAGCTCTACAATAAATCGAAAATTAGCTGGGCATAGTAGCATACACCTGTAGTTCCGACTACTTGGAAGGCTGAGGCAGAAGGATTGCCTGAGCCCAGCAGGTAGCCACTGGGGTGGCTGTGAGCATACCACTGCACTCGAGCTTGGGCGACAGAGTGAGACTCCAATTTAAAAAAAAACAACTTCTAAGCACAAAACATAAATAGAAATGCTATCATTTAACTATGACTTAAAGCTCTATCCTCTCTGTACTTCCAATTAACTTTTCTTACTATTGTTAAAGTGAATATCCTTATTTATGGATATTACAAGTTATCTTGTGGCAAATTAAAGCAGAAAAAGAGAGAGAAGACGATTCCTTTCTATATATTACTTTCCATTTAGGAAGCAGAAGGTGTTAAATTGATAGAGGTAACATAACAATAATCTGAAATTAACATTCTTGTGAACGCCAGAGAATACAGACTTACCATTTTCAAGTCTTCCACTATGTGACATTAATAGAAAGAAGCAAAAGACTGTTTTGGTTTCTCTTCATGGTGTTATGGATAGTGTATTTCAAAATAAACTCCAAAATGTGAGTTGCCAATGATTATCTTTAAATTTTATGAAGTTTTTATCTGAACAAAATTTCTCTAAAAATAATATATTTTGAAGCAATGACCTATTAGCCACTCATAGGTATATTATAGAATATTCACTGAAGAAAAACCAAAAAAGCTAGCATTCAGTGAGTGCATACCTGAGTCAATGAAAATTAACTTGGTTAGGCAAAAGGCTAAATACTTGGATACATATACTATTAAAATTATCTCATGGAAATTTACATCATGCAGTCAACAAATACAAATTTCTTTTGAAATTTTAAGTATTTTAGGAATTAGCAAACACAAAGAATACAGGGAGTTGGTTTCAAAAAATTTTTTTTAAACCTGCTTTTCCTTGTCATTTACTTCCTTCTTGTATTCTTGTTCAAGGTGTTGAAATTTTTCATAATCTTCTTTTACTTTAAAAGTAAAACAAATATATTATAATTTCTTAACATAATTGTGTAACCTTTCTATTACAAATAAAATGTAAAGTTTCTTTTACTCCCTTATTTATCTCAAAATTATTTTAAACTTCAATTTATGTGTTAACATGCATACTTTACCAAGAAATGTAAAAATAAGGCCAGATCATACATCTAGAAACATTAAATACAAATAGTAATAAGTTTGATTTCATGGCAAATGTTTCTAAGGTAGAAAGTGTTGATATATACTAATTCCCTGCCGCATTCCAAAAAATTTTGAGAAACTTTTAAAAATAAATAAAATAGAAAATATAAGATAGTCAAGAGCATCAGGCTGAAGAGATAAAAGCATTAATAGAATCTAATGAGATATAAATAGAAGAACCATAATTTTAAAAATTAAATAGGATCCCTACACTTAAAATGTATTTCCAGTCTGGAATTTTCAGCTTGCACACGAAGTTCCTCAAAAGCTGTTATCATTTTCTGTAATATAAAGTTTAACTTTTAGGAATCACACTTTGACTTTTTAAATAGGTTTCTTAAAGCTAAGAAAATATTAGAAATTTTTTATCATGTGGTCACTGATTTAAAACCATGCAACTTTGAATAGCAAAAGCCCTACAATTTCAATAATTTACTAAAAATGTATAAAGAGTGCCAATTATGTTCGTCTCCTACAAGCGTAAAGGTCTTGGAGACGTCATACAAAACAAAGCAGCAGCAAAAGGACTGCTGGTACTCCAGCCATTTACTTATAGTACATATCACAAATGGTAATTTCATATTTATTCATACTTATTTATTGAATTTCTGTCTTCCCACTAAAGTGAGACCTCTCCCCATATAAGTCAAAAATTACACTTCCATCATCTGGCACCATGCGTTCATTCAACATTCAACAAATCTTGCTTTGCAAAATCAGATTCATTCATTCATTCATTCATTAAATGTGTACTGAGTGCCTTAGTATCTGCCAATAATTGTTTTAGGCAATTGGCATAGAAAACAAAGTCTCTACCCTATTAGAACTAATTTATATTCCAATGTAACTTATATTACATATATACGCATATGCATATAAAAGAAATATCATGTCATTTTAAGTACTCTTCAGAAAAACTAAATGAGGTGGAAAGATAAAGAATAATTGAGTGGAAATATATTTTAGATAAAATAGTAAGGAGGATAAAGTTTAGAAGTAAGCTCTTGAACACAAAAATTCTGAAAAGGGAACAAACTCCAAGAACCATAATCAGAGCTTAGCAAATTTGAGAAACACAAAAAAAGAGTGACTACGGCAGAAAAGCAAAGTGGAGAATGATAGGAGATGAGAAAACAAAGATAAATAGGAGACAGATACAGATTAATAATACTTTATATGTTTTCAAATGAATGGTTATGTGTCATAATATGATGGTCTCTGACACAAAGTCAATAAATAATTGATAAATAAAGTTCAACAGTGTCACTAACATGTAAATAAAAAAGATACTACATAAAATATTAATACTCATAGTATGGAACCTTGGAAATCTTACTGGTGACACAATAACACATCAACTAATAAACAATAATCCTTTTAGCAAGAAGAGTTGTCCATATTTTTGCAGCTATCACTCTGCTTTTCCTAGAAATTCTGTTTAAAATATTGAGATTTTAACTAACACTTACCTCAATGTTATTATTTAAATCCATATGAACTTGTCTGGTTTCTTCTCGTTCATATTCATCTATCATTAATATAAAACATTTCAAAATTAAATTTTAAAACACTTATGATGCCAACAAGACAATACTCAAACTGCCTCAGGAAAATATTAAAATATTTAAAATTCTTTGTTAATGAAGGACATTGGGATATTTAAATCAGTACTGGGCCTTTTCCACTGCATCAAAAGCAGTTTTGGTCCAATTTGGTATGAGGGTTAAAATTCACTATTCTAACAAGTAAAAAGCTGAATAAACTAAAAAAAAAAATCAGTAACTCTTTTCAGATCCATAGGAGAAGTGGGGTCCCAGAGCAAACTACTACGCCAAAACTGGAGAGACATACAGGTAAACACAAAGAATCACACCTTACCAGGGAAGAAACCCACAAGCAGAAAACTCTGAGGAGCCAGAGCCACGAAAGAAAAACCTTAACCACAATTAATAGAATACTGGAAAGTCAGTGTGAACAAATCTGAGAGACAAAAACTCGAGGGGAACCTGGTCATTAGGGGTCCCCACACTCTTATAAGTTTTACCTCCTGGTGTCCTACCAAGTTCTCCCAGTGAAACTAGGACAAATATCCCTTATGCATCAAAAGGGGAGAAGGAAGGGAACCATTCTGAACCATGCCCGTGGATCCTGTTCTTCTTAACAAGGCCTGCCCTCAGGAGAAACTATTTAAGCAGACCACAATCTACTCAACATTTGTAAGAACCTAACTGACCTAGGGGAAGGAAAATATCCAATTCTAGTTATCTGTAGACTTCCATGTGGAGAAAGGAAAAGAACCAACCACATCTCCCTCTCTTCTTGCACAGAGAAAAAGGGAAATACCCAATTCCAGCCCACTCTACCCACTCTGTCCCAGCTAAGGAAGGACAGATAGGTGGGGGCTGAGAAGCATTAATGAAGTTCACAGTCTTGAGGCAAAGCTTTACTTAAAGAGTGAGGCCCCCCTCCCTTGCACCTTACTACCATATTCCAGCAGTTCCTTTACCCAATACATCATGCCCAACTATCAAGAAAAAATTACAAGCATACTAAAAGGCAAAAAACACAATACAATAAGATAGAGCAAGCATCAGAACCAGACTCAGGGAAGGGATGCTGGAATTATCAGACCAGAAATTTAAAACCACATTGATTACTATTCTAAAGGTTCTAGTGGCTAAAGTATACATCATGCAAAAATAGATATGCAACTTAAGTAGAGAGAAAGAAATTCTAAGAATGGGTCAAAACAGAATGCTACAAATCAAAAACACTAACAGAAATGAAAGGCTAATAAACAGACTAGGCACAACTGAGGAAAGACTCTGAACATGAAGATATCTCAGTAGTAGCCTCCAAAACTGAAAAGCAAAGAGAAAAACAGACTGGAAAAAAAACAGAACAGGGTATCCAAGAACTGTTGGAGAGCTACAAAATGTATAATAAATGCATAACAGAAATATAACTAGAAGGGGAAGAAAATGGGAAAGGTACAGAAGAAATATTTGTAACAATAATAGCTGAGAGTTTCCTCTCAAATTAATGTTAGGTACCAAACCACAGATCCAAGAGGTTCATAGAACAGAAAGACAAATAAGTGCAAAAAAAAAACTATACCTAAGACATATCATATTCAAACTATAGAAGATTAAAAATGAAGCTAAAGGAAAAAAATAACTCTTACCTATAGAGGAAAAAAATATAAATTACATCTGACTTCTCAGAAACCATTCAGGGAAGAAGAGAATACAGTAAAATATTTAAAGTATTGAGAAGAAAAAAAAACCCCAGCAACATAGAATTCTATACCCTGAGAAATTATTCTTGTAAAGTGAAGGAGAAATAAAGACTTTCTCTGACAAACAAGAATTGAAAGAATGTGTTGCCAGCAACCTGCCTTCCAAGAAATGTTGAAAGAATCTTTTCTAGAGAAAGAAAATGATGTAAGTAAGAAATACAGGTGCAGTGGCTCACACCTGTAATCCAAGTACTCTGTGAGGCGAAGGTGGGAGGGTTGCTTGAGCTCAGGAGTTTGAGAATAGTCTGGGCAACACAGCAATTGGTCTCAGGAGTTTGAGACCAGTCTGGGCAACATACAAATTTTTAAAATTTAGCCAGGCATGGTGGCATGTGCTTGTAGTCCCAGTTACACAGGAGGCTGAGGCAGGAGAATCACCTAAAGGTCAAGGCTGCAGTGAGACCCCAAATCAAAAACAAAAAAAGGAATTCACATCTACAAAGACATGCACATACACACACACACCCCAGCATCACAGCAGGAATAAGTGATATTCTAAAAAAAAAAAGTCGGGCTCAGTAGCTCAGCCTGTAATCCCAGCACTTTGGGAGATCGAGGTGAGTGGATTGCCTAAGCTCGTGGGTTTGAGACCAGCCCAGGCGACTTGGCGAGACCTCATCTCTACAATAAATCAAAAATTAGCTGAGCATGGTAGTGCGTGCCTGTAGTTCCAGCTACTTGGAAGGCTGAGACGGAAGGACTGCCAGAGCCCAGTAGGGCAACGCTGGAGTGACTGTGAATGTGCCACTGCACCCCAGCCTGGGCAACAGAGTGAGACTCCAACTCAAGGAAAAAAAAAATTCTTATTCTTAATTGATCTAACATGTGTGCTAAAAATAATAACAACAGTGATGTAGATCATGTATGCCTATATTTAAGTGAAATGAATGACAGCAATGATACAAAAGAGGGAAGGGAAGAATTAGGATTATTGTGTTATTATAAGGAATCACACTTGAATTACAGCATATTGCAAATTCTAGGGAAGCTTTTTTTTTTTTTTTAGTTTAAGAAACTGTAACCCATATGCTAAGAGAGAAAATGAAATCACAGAAAATGCTCAACTAAAATCACAAATGGCAGAAAAAAGAGTGAAAGGCAAAAGCAGGAACACAACAGGACAAAAAAAACACAATAAATATGGTAGAAAATAATACAACTATATAAATAGTCATGTTGAAGAACAATGGTATAAATCAGCGGTCCCCAACCTTTATGGCATCAGGGACCAGTTCTGTGGAAGACAATTTTTCCACAAACTGGGGGTGGGAGATGGTTTCGGGATGACTCAAGAGCATAACATTTATTGTGCACTTTATTTATATTATTATTACATTGTAATATATAGTGAAATAATTATACAATTCACCATTTTAAAAAAGGTGCAGGGAGAAGTGGTGAATTAAATAATGAGTGGGCCATGCACAGACTAAAATAAGTGTCGGATCCTGACTTAAATTCTGCCACCACATGCAGCTGTACAATTGAAGTACATCAACTCACTTGCCACTCACTGACAGGGTTTTGACATGAGTCTGCAAGCAGTTATTTATGATGTTCTCTGTGCATTCAAACCTTACTGCTAATGGTAATCTGTATTTGCAACTGCTCCCCAGTGTCAGCATCATTGCCTCAGCTCCACCTCAGATCATCAAGCAATAGATTCTCATAAGGAACATGCAACCTAGATCCCTTGCGTGTGCAGTTCACTACAGGGTTCACACTCCTATGCGAATCTAATGCCACCGCTGATCTGACAGAAGACTGAGCTCAAGTTGTAATGTGAGCAATAGGGAGCAGCTGTAAATACAAATGAAGCTTTACTTGCTTGCCCATTGCTCACCTCCTACTGTGTGGTCTGGTGCCTAACAGGCCATGAACCAGTACCAATCTGTGGCCCGGGAGCTGGGGGCCCTGATCTAAATGACCAATAAAGACAGGTTGATTGTCAAAGTGGATTAAAAAGGAAGTTAAAAGGCAAAGAAAAACTATGTTGTCTACAAGAAACTCACTTTAAATATAAAAACACATGTAGATTAAAAGTAAATAGAGAAAGATATACCATATGAACACTAATCAAAAGAAAGCAGGAATAGCTGTATTAATTTCAGACATAGCAGACTTCAGATCAAGTAAAGTTATAAGACATAAAGAGAGTCATTACAAAATGATAAAGGGGTCAATTCTTCAAGAAGTTATAACAATTTTCATGTGTATGTGTACAGTGTCAAAAATACATGAAGCAAAAACTGATAGAACTGTAAGGTAAAATAAATGAATCTAGTATTATAGTTGTAGACCTCAATACCCCTCTATCAGAAATGAAGTTATCCAGCAGGCAGACAATCACTGAGATGTACAGACTGAGTATACCTTATACGAAATGCTTGGGACCAGAAGTATTTCAGATCTGGGGCTTTTTCAGATTTTGAAATATTTGCATTATATTTACTAGTAAAGCAACCCTAATCTGAAAATCAAAAATCCAAAATACTCTAATGAAAATTTCCTTTGAGCATTTCAGTGCTCAAAAACTTTTCAAGTTTTAAGCATTTTGGATTTTGGATTTTTGGATTGGAGATGCTCAATCTGTAGTTGAAGTTGACAGCACCATCAATCACCTGAACATCTTAAGACTGCTTAATCCAACAACAACAGAATACACATACTTCTCAAGCTTGTATGGAACATTCACCAAGACAGACCATATTCTGGGCCATAAAACACAGCATTACAAATTTTAAAGATTAGAAATCAAGCAGTGTCTTCTCTCAGACTACAGTAGAATTAAACTAGAAATCAGTAACAGAAAGCTATCTGAAAAATCCCAAAATACATGGAGATCAAACAACATATTTCTAGATAACATGAGTCAAAAAAGAAATCACAATTAAAATTGAAAAATATTTTAAACTAAATGAAAATGAAAATACTGTCTATCAAAATCTGTAGAATACAGTAAAAGCTTACAGGAAATTTATAGCATTGGATGCATATATTACAAAAAAAGATCTAAAATCAATCATCTAAGTTTCCACCTTTGGCAACTAGAAAAAGAACAAATTAAATCCAAAGTAAGCAGAAGAAAAAAAACAGTAAAAATTAGAGCAAAAATCAATGAAACAGAAAATCAAGACAATAAAACCAAAAGCTGGTTCTTTGAAAAGATCAATAAAATCAATAAGTCTCTAGCCAGGCTAAGAAAAATAGAGAGAGGTTTCAAATTACTA